GTTTATATTTTTAGTCTAATTTTTTGCTATTATAATAATCTAATTCTTTGCCTTTACATTCTAATTTGATTGGTAGTTTTCTTTTGCTAACTACAAGAATTTATTTCATGTTAAAAATAATTGATTTTTAATTGCGTACTTAAATTATTCATCACTAGTTGATTCAATTATCATCAATATATCTTGGTAAATGATAGATTTTTCAAAGATCAATTGGTTTGATAGTGTTACGTTGAAAATGTAGTCTCTGGAATATGTGTTTGGTAGTGTTTGTCTCATATTTAAGAAAAAACCCGATAAATAACCGAAAATACAGAAAAATCGACCAAAACCGAATCGATAAAAAACCGACTTAATTGGTTTGGTTTTATTTCAATATTTGAAGAACGGACTTAGTTGATTTGGTTTCTTTTTAGGAAAAAACCGAACAAAACTGAACGATGAACACCTCTGGCCCTATGGTTTTGTCTTCTGCTAATAAAAGCAACAGGTGAAAGGACAAGGCTATGGTTATATGTCTTTTTAGTCTACTTTTTGAGTACTTTCAATATAATACTTAGGATTTTGATGGATTTTAGCCCCGTACAAAATCTCCCAAGATTCATGTTATATATTACCCAGGGGCTAGATACAGGAACAAATTTTAATACTTGAATAGGAGTTTCAAGAATTAGGATAGTGTCTATTCACTGTCTTGATTGATTTTCCAACAGTGTACCAATATAATCATATTTCCTTCGAGAAATACAGCTATTTTGTAATTGACCACCTTTCGTCGAAAAATTATATTGTTATATAGGTAAAATATTAAGTTTTAGAGATATATAACATATATTAAATATCGAAGAATTATTTTTATTTTTTTTAAATTTGAACACCCTTGAGAAAATTCCTGACTTGTCATTGCTACTATTAGTAGTTAGGCTATATAGGAAAAAATAATTCATGTGATAAAAGAAGAAAACAAAAAACAACTAGTTGTCTAATTCAGTCATTTTCATAATTCACTGTCAAGTGTAAGATGGAACCTATACCATTCACTTATTTTCATAATGTCTAATATGAAAAGATTAAATTAATTATGTAAATGACAAAAGGAAATAGACATACCCAGTTCCAGCAAAGAATCCAAGAGGAATCATCAGTTCCCAACCATTGATATTCATGCTGCAGGAATTAAAATTAACAAAAAATTAAGACAATCAAATAAAAGAAAGTGACATCAATTAGTATTATGTTTGTGTAGACAATTTAAAGACAACTTGGTCATTTTCTTCTGTCATCAATTATTATGTTTGTGTAGACAATTTAAAGATTACTTGGCCATTAAATTTGACTGAAACCAAATTATGAGACTTGTCTACTTCATAGTCAAGAATAGCAAAGGCAATGATCTCTAATGATAATGACAACATTAACAAAAGTTAAACTTTTTTGGTACATTTAACTTGTGGTGTTTTCATTATAATTAATGTTGTCATTAACAAGTTAAAAGGTGTAATCAAGAAGAAAAGTTTGCTTACCAAATGGATAATGCGTCCACAGCAATTTTAGCATTTTCCAAATTACCAGTCATCACAATTAGCACCCTGTAATACCAGTTCTCCAAGCTGTTCCATATTTATGGTAATATGAGATTAGAAAGAAAAAATAGATCATAGAGAAATTGCATTAATATAAGCAAATAGATTAAATTATGACATGATGGCAAAAGTTTTAGCTCCCACTCTTAAACCAAACAAGGAAAAGGAAAGACTTATATACACTATGTATAATAATTTTACACTATTCCTGCAATTTTAAAATTAGATAGCATTTGTCTTATTTTCCTGATTACTTTCTCACTTCTTTTGTAGTTATCTTTTAAATAACCTAATAGTATAAAAAATATTTACCCTGTCTATGTATAGAAGTTAAACTCTAAATGGAATTACAAATCTCATTTGCTTTCTAGCTCATTTCCCTTCCCAAACTTATGTTGCTCGTACTCTTCAAAAATGTTGTCGCGCCCATATTAGATCCTTCAAAAATACACTACTTTTGAAGGATCACTCGACAGCATTTTTAAAGAGTCTGAGCAACATAAAAGACAACCTGGTGCACTAAGTTTCCGCTACGTGCGGGTCCGGGGAAGGGTCGGACCACAAGGGTCTATTGTATACGACCTTACCATACATTTCTGCAAGAGGTTGTTTCCACAGCTCGAACCCGTGACCTTAGTCCCTCAAACAAAAGACTAGAAACTTGAGATAGAGAATAATACCAGAGCATGATTCCAGAAGAGACAGAGAGCTTGAAAAAATCCCAAAGACCAGAGAAAGCTTCCATACTAAAACCAGTCCAAGAAAGAGGACAGCCACCAAAAACAGTATAACCAAACAACATCAACATAACCAACCACCAAGAGATATTCAAAGTAAGTGTTGTCCCAATAATACCCAAATGAAACTTGTACACAATCAGCCAACTTATCAACACATGAAAAATGAATGCCACAAAATTTGCCCAAGCTATCACATTATTCTTCAATTGGCTTTGTAAAAACCTCTGCAGTGGAAATTGAAATGCAAAGCAAAAGTGGAGTGGAATAAAGGCCAAAACTACAACTCCAGAGAGCTCAGCTACATCTTCTGGTTGCCCAAGAAATTTCAAAACTGGCGTTGCGAAGAGAAATAAAGGCATCATTATAATACAACATAAGAAGAGTACTATCCAAGAACGTTGCAAATATACTCCTAACATGTAGTATTTTTTTGCACCAAATGCTTGTCCACATAATGTTTCCAATGCACTTGCCATTCCTAGCTGCATAATAGATAACGTCAATCAGGGGAGAAGCTACATGTAATAAACGACGTTAAATTAAATCTCCTTGGTACTATGAAAATTGGGTAATTTTCATTTTATTGGTATACTACATAAATTGTTGAATCTTTTTGACATAACCGAAGCTTCTGTATAGTAGCAAACAGAGGCAGACCTATGTTACTAAGTGAGGGTTCACTAGTACCCGCAAAGTTCGGTAAAATATCCATAAATACATGTATGTATATTTTAGAAAATACTGATATATTAGTAGTGACACCCTGTATACAAAGCATATTTTGGTTTAAAGCAAAAGTGCACTCCCAACCTTCAAATCTCAGGTCCGCCTCTGGCACCCAATAGCCGTCCATATGATCTCTTAAAATAAAAATAGCCGACGTATGTATAATATATATATATAATTCGTGTATAACATATGTATAACTATATATAATTAATGTATAATTTATGTATACTGGCTAGAAAAGTAAACATTGAATGGATATTTGTGTAACAATACCTTCAAAAATTGGCTTCAGGTTGTAGGTTCAAAAAGCAAGTGTAGTCTATAAATGCATTTTCAAAACCTCCCTTCTTCCCCTGTTAGAATTTCTATATGAATTCTCACTGTTCGTGTCGCTCCATTGAAACCTGACTCGATGCAAAGTCTCATTTAAAATATATGCATAAAGAGAACTCGTGTAATATACTTCTAGATGTGGGATTGAAGCGTAGTTGATTGATTAATATAGTAAGAAATTACGTACCATGAGACCGAAATCGAAGCCAAGAACAACATTACTAGCAATGGACATAGCAGCAAGTTCAAGATCACCAAGATGACCAGCAAAAGCTTGAGTGATAACAAACATGGAGTAAGAAACTATTCTACTAAAAATGGCAGGGCCAACTATATGCCATAGCTTCTTTGTTTCAATCCAAAATCTTTTTGAAAAACTTTGTTCATTTTGGTTTTGTTCTAGTATATAACTATTGTGGATATTAGAAGCTGCATAATCTAATAAGGGTACCTTATTTTCCTCTATTTTTCCATTGCTAGACATTTTTTCCTTACCTAGGCTCTCTCTCTTTAGGTTCTATTAAATAAGAGGGATTGAGAGATTAGAGAGAGAAAATGCCTTAGAAGAAAGATAAGGAAATGATAGCTAGAGGAATTTATTTGTGTGGTTAATGCTTATATATATATATATATATATATATATATATATATATAG